ACATAAAAATAGGATTTAAATGTTTGGAAAACCTTTAAAAATGTTAGCGTTGCAAAAATATAAAATTAAAAAATAAAGTGAAGGAATACCACTTTTGGTATTTTAAGAGGCAAGAACAAGAATATTTCATTTATCAGCTTCATGTATTAATTAATGTAATAAAATAATAATGAGATATTTTTCATCTATATGTATGATAAATATTGATTTTGCTAAAGCTGTGGAGCATTTCTCAAATAGACCAAGTCTATTCATAATAACTATGAGTATAAATATTCAATTAATTAATAAAGCCTTTGTGAACTTGTGTAATGCTTTCAGTATTGATTGTCTTAATATATGTGTAAAATATATAATTTATGAACATAAATAATTACTTGAAATAAAACTGTAATTATGTGTAGTTGTTTATAAGAATACATAATGTGTCTGTATTAATTTATAAAATGTTTAATTTATAATTATTTAGAAAAAGCGTTTAAAAGAAGTATTATTTGCAGCAAATATTCCGTAGAAATAAAATTAAAGTAATTAAATAAGCTTATTATACTTATTAAAATATTTACATAATTTATACTATTTAAAGTAGTTGAGTTGCAAGTACACAAACGTATTCATTTTGCCTAAAAGTAAACTATGATATTTTGCTGTACTGGTAGATTTGCAATACTTCAAAGCGGGCATGGCTAATTAATTGATTACCGCTTAACTGCATTGATTGTCAGTGGCACTTTTTTAATTAGAAAATCTTTTGTGCATTTTAAAAGATTAGCCAGTCCCGCTCTAAAGTTTCATTTATACATAAAAGTAACGTGGTAATTGTAATGTTGAAACCTTGTTAATTATTAGCATTTAGTATTTGAAATGAAAAATCTAATAACATCAACCAAATACACAGTGTACTACATACATACATAAATAGAAGTACATAACACTAAAATATACACCCAGAACAAAGTAAATATTTATATGTGTGTTTATATTCTTATTAATTAAAAAGGAAATACAAATAACGTACATGAATTTATATAAATTAATTAATTATTTAAATATTGATATTATAACAAATATAATTATATAAATACAATAAACAAGCTGCATAAATAAATCTTTTAATATAGTTATTAATTAATTTGTAGTTCTTTAATTTATTATGGAACTTTTTTTTTTTACTAATAAATAGTCAGTGGTTTAATTTGATTTTAGTTAGCATTTCTATTCACTTATGTAGTTTGGCTTTTAATAAGAAAATTCACTAATGTTTAATAGTAAATTAATATTATTATGTAAAGCAAGAGTAGACAAAACAGCGCACGTTTTTGTTTGAAAATTTTACAGTACACATATTATTTAATTATATTTTTGTATTAATTAAAAAAAAAAAATTTCGTAGTTTACATCATTAGAAATTGTCATATATACACTTCACTTATGATTAAATTAATTATTAATTATTTCATTCATTTTAAAAACAATGAAAATTTAATAAAAATCACAGCTTATAGCGATATTATAGATAATTGAAAATAAACATAATTTTGAAATAAAGGGCATATATATGATTGATATTGATGGTTATTCCTGCAAATATAATTATATGAGCTATATTTCAAAACCCAGCATATTCTCTTGTACTTTAGAAATGTATTAATAATTCTCATGGTTTCCATTATATTAAAAATTAATATTAATTAATAAAAATCATAGATTTTCGGCATAGATTCATTCGGAATTATCATAGACATTCTTCTGCTTGCAATTCAAATTCAAAAGGATTTCAATAAGTAATTATGTGAAGAAATAATTCTTCATCGAGAACGTTGGGCAGAAAACCGTCATCAAATAAATGAAGGTTCGTAAGTCTCGTAAGACGATGGTAAGACTAGTGCATCCAATGGGTATTATTTGAAAGGCTTGAAAGGTTGCATACGATGGATGCTTCACTTCGTTTTCAAAACAATGATAGCATAATAAAAACAGATTTACAGTTTCACTTAAGTAACAAAAAATTGTTATTTAAAAAAAAATTTAAGATTACCATTCCTAATCGAGAACGTAAAATAGAAAATCTGAATCGAATAATCGAAGTTGATTATATTTATACTAGTGCAGCTATACTAGCACTTTTTATTCTGAAAAGACTTTTCCATGAGCAAATATCTGGCTATATTCCAAACAAAGCTACCTGTCTGAGAAAAAAGACAACCAACATAATAATGTTATAGCCATCGATCATACTGGCTTTAAGCAATGTCAAACTTTATACAAGGTTTGATGTACAACTTTTTAACGATTCCCAATTAACAATGAAAACATTATCGAGTTTTTTTTAAGTGGGTTTTGGGTTATAAAGAACATGAAGGCAATGAAAGACAAATCTTAAACTCAATTACAATTACACCTATGCCATTTTGCATCTAGGCGAAATAACGCAGAGCGGAAAAACCCATATACTAAGAAGATACCCAATTTATATATGTATCGAAAAACAAAAAATGCTATCAAAAAAAGTACCGAGAGCGTATTATAGCCAAACGTATCATCATAACAAAATCTGCCCATCAGAGACCTCTATTTGTGACATTTGTATTATACCCTAAAATAAGTAGCGGCAGACTTATTCAGAGACTATTCATTACAGACTCTTTGCACCATATAATATATAAAACAATACAAAACTTTCAAATCCGATTACTTTCACTAAAAGCCTAATCATTTAAATTGCGATATTTAATATTCCCCACTTAATAATAATAAAAGCAATATATAACATAATTGTTTTAACAAATCTTTTCTCCCAATTCAGTGAATGATTGGTCATGGAAGAATAATGAGATAAAATTTCATTCCGTATGTGTGAGGAATATATGACGGCAATATAAGATATAGGGCGAACGGAGTAGTGCTCACCTTACCTCCTCTTTGAGTTTTAAACGAAATTAGTTGGACAGCTGAGAGCAAAAGCCTTACAAGTTACGATTTGAAAGAATAAAGCTCATTTTAATACAAAGCCCTCTAATGAACTTTTAATTTTTGCCTGCAGGTTCATACATCTACATACGACCATATCTTAGGTTAAATTAAATGACATTTACACACTATAAAGCACATATTATCACTGAAAATAGTAAAATTACATTCCGAATATCCCAATAAAAGTTATTCATAACACATGAATGTATTATATATATTGTAGATAGATTTTAGATCTATTCTACAAAATTAAATGATGAGAAGAATCGTAAAAAAATAAAACATTAAAACAAGCTAGCAAAAAATCAAATTAAGCACTCAGCTTAGTTCTAAGGATCTGAAAATAACCTATAAAAATTAAAATATAAGATTTAGCACTTTTTCAATAATATAATGGTATACACAAAATATTATCTATATATCTATGACTATTTTCCAAGGGTATATGTTTTTATGTATGGGAAACAATATTTTACATGAAAAACAAAGATAAAAAATACTTCTTTAAAATGTTATATATTAGCAAAATAGCTAAGTAATAGTCTTTGCAATTCTTTATTGCAAACAGGAACGAGGCGTCAAATAGTTTAGAGAATACACTATATACCCTCTTAAAACTTTCCTTTTAGTTAGTTATTTTACCTAATAATTTTCACAAGCTTGCAATGGGACTATATGTATACTCGAGACCTTATGCACCATTATGCGCCATTATACATTATTAATATGTATATTAAAAAATGCGAAGTAAATCCAAAAAGAAAGGAAAAATGATTTCTTTATATTCGAGTTTAGGTGCACGCGACGAAGCTAAATCACTAGTCCATACAAGTTATGTAAATAATATCGAGATAATGACTATCATTCAATAAGAATAAGAGATTTCATAAATTGACGCATCTACCCAACTTCAATTCATTTCCGTTTCCAAAAAGTCCTGTCCACTTTCCACACGTTCTTATCTAACCATATATTAACCTATACATACTTATTTATAATTCCTTTTATGTTCTTTGTTTTATAGGTGGGAGTGGGGTTACCAAAATAACAACAACAAAAACAATAAAATAATACAACTCATACGAAATATGCAAACAATATATAAAAGAGAAGAGAAACTAACTAAATGACAAACAAATTTTGATAGAACCAGATCGATTGAATAAAGGGAGTATAATATGCACTGGCGGATTTATTGATTTCTTATAAAAATTCAAGAAACAGTTTTTATTTTCACTGTTTATAAAAATATTTGCTTTTATGGATCATTGATTTAATATTCGTCAAACTAAATGCATGGTTTTGAGCTACTGGCGAGGATTAAATTGAAGACACAAAAAAGGATCTAAAATGTGAAGAAATGTTTAAAAATACTAATGCCAATATAGTTGCTATTATATCACTTCCTGACATTTATTATGATCAGCATGGCGCTCGATATAATTGAAGTTATCCTTTGTACCCACTATGAACACTCAACCGGAAAAGTAATACCGTATTAGTGATTCCAAGTATAGCATTTATATTCTCTTCATAATACTCGTAAAAATTTAATATTCTTGTAACAACCTTTCTTATTTACATGACTAAGTATTGACGATGAAAAGTGGGAGATAAGATCGGCGTGTTTAAGGTGTATCAGACATTTAATGTTTATTTAATTAAAAGTTGGAAAAATGTCTAACCAATTTCTCCACTGTGTGGCGGAAACTATCTGAAAATTTGAAAAATGTGTAACTGATATACAATGAAATCTATTAGGTAGATTGTACTGATTTTTGAAAATTGCTTTAAAAAATTTGTTAGCAAGTAAATGTATATATTAATATATTAATTGGAAATATATAAGATTATTATTTAAATATAATTTGTAGTAGATAAATATGTTTCATATATTGAAGTTTATAAAATAAATAAAATACACCTTTTATATAGAAAATTTTTGATCAGTTATTTTTGATCAGATTAGTAAACTTTATAAAAATCAAATAGTTTATGTAATGGGAAAATATTGCTTTAATGTTAAATTAATAATACTCGCACTGCAGGATCCGAATAAATAGAAATAAAGAAAATTCACTTACCTCATAGAATTTCCCAATAACTTCAACGCTAAACATACAAGGAGAATTCCAATTAGGCTGTTGAGGAACTAAAATTTAAATATTGTTAAAATTTTAACTTTAATCGTATATGTTTCTCGTATTACTTATTCCTTTTAACGAAAATTTTTTTTTGATAAACAGCATCTATTGGGTAAAAATAAAATTAAAATCAAATATTAAAACCCAAAGATTAAAAATTTGAAATAAATCTCTTACAAGATTCTGTTTCGTCAACAGAGGTTTGTTTGGTCTGGTCATCAGATGAAATTTGGCTAGCCGAATAAAAATACTACTATTGATCACAGGATTCTGAAAAAAATACAAATAAATAAAGATAGTTTAAAAACACAAAAATAATAAAATAAAAATTTAAAATTATAAATTTTTTTAATTTTGATACTCTAATAAGTTATATAAACATTATTTTTGGTTATTATTTAAGTATTGTAAAGAGTAGTTATTATCAAGTTAAGTTGAGTTCTAACATTTATTCATTTTTATAATTTGATGTCCAGGCCTTCAGTCACCAGTTGGCTGATCCAAACTCCGTCATCCTTATGAACTTATAACCATCTTAATGGGTATATGAATACATCTACTATTATAGTTAAAATTTTTTAATCAGGTTTCTCATCTCTCAGTGCTCATGCAGACAGATCGGCTGCTGTTCCGCACATTAAGCTGGCACCTCTCAACACAATACAAACACACCTAAGCGACACCAACAATGCCCGGACACAGTGATGGCAGGTCAACGGAACAGTATAAAAACAATATAAAAATATATAAAAACAAAGAACAGTAACATATACCTTACCCCATACTATATCATGTCTTACTACATAAATAAGCTTTCTTTTCCCACTGTTCTATTAAAATGTAAAATATAAATTTTATTATGGATTAAAATAAATATAGATTAAAAATAATTATAAAATAACTTTAAAGTGAATAATAGATATAATTTAAAGAAATTATAAATAAATGAATTGACACTTAGGTTTTTGTCTATAGTAATAACACAAAAACAAATTATATTTACAAATTAAATATTAAAGTAAAAAATTACAACATTACAAACGAAAAGCAGGTGCCTTTCCTCTCCGTGCTCATGCAAACGGAACGACCAATTCTCAATGTTAATAATATTGGAAAAGATAAATTGTCCCCATGTGAAAAGTAATTTGTTGTTTTACAGTCGGCTTATATCTAAAGGCAGTCACAACCAATCACAAGCCTGATCTTTATTGGGTTGTAGAGATATCGAATATACGATCAGATGAGATGGATAGAAGATGAAAAACTTATGGACTAATCGCGTCAACTGTTCTCTTGCAATAATGCTTACGGACTATACGGAACTTGCAATCAGAATATATCATTCAATTTCTATATTTTTGTTTGAGACTAGAGATGAATTGACTAATATATCTAAGAATATATATATTATATATATAATATATCTAAGAAACCATTTCTTTCCTGCCCTGTCAAAGTTAAAGAAAGTGATTTATCACATCTTTTTGTCTGGAATACCAAATAGTTTAGCAAGGATAACAAACGAAGACATTTTAGAAACAATAATTAATGTAGAAGGGCTCAAAAATTATTGAAGAAACAACAATATATATTAATATATTGAAATTTGGCTGACCATAATACAACGCACCCTTCTAACTTATAAATAGTTTCTTTTCGTCACATTTGACAAAAAAAAAATTAACATTTAATAATTAATATAGTTTACCTTCCTTTGCCATCTTTAACAGCATCGCAATAAGCAGTAGATGTCTCTGAATATAAGTGCTTTTAAACTTCACTAACGTTATGTTATATATATAAATATGTATATATATTTTATAAAGAATACATATATATAAAAGTTATATATGATCAAAGGTCTTTTTTTTTCTTCCAGCTAATACTTTAAATAAATGAAGATAAAGTAATAATTTGACCTATAACGAAATAATTGCTAGTTAAGATAAAGATTATCAAAGAGAAGTATTGCCGAATAATCTTCTCTCATAGAAACCAACTCATCGAAGTAGCTTATTTTATACATCAATAACATGTTTATAATCCAATTTGTTTAACTAAAGGCTGACTTCAAAAAAACTGAAACTGATTTTTAAGTTCTATTTCACATCGTTTTTCAAATATGTGTAAAATTCTATGGTATATATAATGCTGGCGATAAATATTTGTCATTCCCTGCTATATATAAACATATACATTAAGACTGAAAAGTTTTCGGAAATTCTCATTTAAAATTCGCGCGCTGTATATTTTTCGATATTTTAAGTTTATGTAGTTTGGCAGCACTGTCCTTAATTACTATGCCAAAAATGAGCTCGATCTGTCAGACAGTTCGTTTACGGCAGCTGTTGAAACCAGTTCACCTCAGTAGTGCGTTGCGAAATGTCTTCGACGGTCGTACGACCGTCCTGGAAGGCTTTGTACCACTCATAAACTTGAGTTTTCGATAAAACTGATTCCCCATAAGCCTTTTGTAGCATTCGCAACGATTCTGCACACGAAATTTCGTTCGAAACACAAAATTTGATGCAAACTCTTTGTTCAATATTTTTTTCCATTGTTTTTTTCGCAACGCCCTACTGAGGTGAACTGGTTTCAACAGCTGCCGTAAACGAACTGTCTGACAGATCGCGCTCATTTTTGGCATAGTAATTAAGGACAGTGCTGCCAAACTACATAAACTTAAAATATCGAAAAATATACAGCGCGCGAATTTTAAATGAGAATTTCCGAAAACTTTTCGGTCTTAATGTAGGTATTTTATGTTTTCAACTTACTGTTTGTTGTTTGATATTTAGTGGTCTGGCATAGGTGACAAGCCCCCGGAATTGGATAAGTGCAGCACGCAAAGCCATTTTGAGTAGTTGAAGAGTGAAGTCACTATATTTAATAAAAATATTATATTAATATAATATGTTTTATTTAATATTAAATTATTGATATTAAACTAAATAAAGTAAATACAAATACAATAAACGAAAAAATAATTTTATTAGTATTTAAAAGTAATTTTATTTAATTTCTAAAATAGTTGTAAGTAATTGCGGAGTGTAGCGTACAATAACAACAATGCGCTACTTATAGTAAATGATGACTTTATTAATTTGGTTTTTAATTGGGATCCTTTCTGTAAAGTAAGTAATTCGCATCATAAATTTCATTCAAGACAGCTCCTTTGATGTTGAAATAAGTTGTTGTGTCCCAGTTATCAGGAAAAATGTTTCTAATTAAGTTTTTAATGGCGACAACAAAATAAATTAGCTTACAAATCTTATTATTTAAATCGAAAAATTCACAAGTAAAAAGTATCTTAGGAAACTGTTTAAAAAGAAGTTGCTTTAAAATATTTTTAAATTTGGGATAAAAATGTTTAAAAATGTAAGGAATTATTTAACAAAAAAAAAAACAATATTAATTAATTTCTTATCCCGTGGCTAATTATGTAGATAATATATGATGCTGAGTATTTATTGCTGGAGATAAGAAGCCAAGGAAGATAGTGAACGAGATATGTGGAAAATATATGATATTATGGTTAGGGAAAAAGTTTTATACCCATGGTTTGGTTGCAATGGCATGGCAGTGACGAAACTCCAGTTTTTTATGAGAACTGGAGGTTCGAGCACCGCACAAAAATATGTTGTAATACGATACTAATGCATGGAGAGCTACATAAATTAGGAGATAAATCGGTAAAAAGTTGACTCCTTTTTTATAAATGTAGGCACTTAAACTTTTCATAAATTATACTGTGCCCCTTTTTACTTTTTATTTGGAGATGCTGAACTCAAATCCGTAATTCGTTTTTCTTCTAGACAACATGGTCTCAGACTATAACGAGTTTAAATTATAAAACTGAGAATTTAAAATGTAAATAAAATATTTCTATTTTAAGAGAATAAATTTCATACGAATAAATTGAGAAATATTTTAACCTTATATACTCTTTCCCAAATTGTTTTCTTTTTCTGTGAAAAAAGAGAACTTTTCAAATTTTTCTCAAAGTGCAATTTTTCCACAGAAACATCCACTTTCACAGAAGAATGGAAGAAAACAAATTTAGAGAAAGATGTCTAAGGCAAAGTTATCTACTATTCGTACGTACTAAGATATTAAAATAATAATTTTACATTAAGTCTTTAAAACCTAAATGTCTAATCTTAACCTGTTATATGTCTGGAAGAATAGCGACTTGCAAAGTTGAGTTCAGCAGAACTAAATTTAAATAAAAGCTTTTAAAAGTCAAAAATGATTAACATGTAGCATTGTCGATAGAGAAATTCCGTCATTAAGTTGAATATTATGTAATAAATTAAAGAAACTGAAAATATTGAGTCATTTGTAGATATGTTTTCTCGATATAGGAATAGAATATAATAATACTTATTTATATATTATCAAGACTTAAGCGTATGTAAAATATAATTATAAAGTTATATGTGCCGATGTCAATAATCTCTTACTACATCAAATAAATGGTTGGCCTCTAAAACAAAGTGTTAAATTTTGACCTACATATATAAATTATATTAATCTATTATTTACAATTATTATTATTACTATTAACTGGAATTTCGATTAACATAGCTGATAGGTAATCTATATAAGCTTCGCCATGAAAGATAAAATAACATTATTCGCATGTCTACTTTATATACCTAATGATAGCTTAATTGTGTTTATCAATTTGTTTATAACTTTTGTTTATATTGAATTTATTATTGCAAAAAGAAATTGTGGAGAAAACAAAAACTTATGGAAAGTATAAACAAAATTATACGTAAGCCAATTCGCGAAATTATGTTAGATAAGAGAAAAAAACATTTTGACAATTTACACTCGAAATAGTTTGTTTATCAAAGTTCTAAATAAAAAAATTATGGAAAAAATATGACATTTAAATTAGAATAATTCTACAAATTACGCAAATAACAAAAATAGTATTTTTTGGTTGCAAATGGTCACGTAGACCAACTTCTTGGTATTACTTGGTACTAATCAGTTAGTATTATTGTGAGAATAAAGTGCTTATATAAAGCGAAAAGTTTCTAATGGATTCTAAAATGTTATAGGTTGTGCTATAACATAGACTATAACATAGACATTGCTACTTCAATTTTATTCTTATTTTGGATAAACTCCTTACTTAAACTAATCCAACGCTTAATTTAGCAGTGGAGTTTTAGTAAAAACTTAAGTCTAGGTAATTGTTTGTTGGCACTAATATGGCACAGCATTTAATTTGGTATGACTTCAATTTCATGTGACATCACAAAAAGCTTCTAATAGAATGTATATCGAGTAAATATCATTTAATGCTTCCACTTACCATCAAAGAATAACTCAGGGACACGTCCAAAGATTTTAAATTGCAATAAAATCTATTGCAATAATAAACGCTGTTATGCGCAATTTTGAAAATGATACTCAAAAATATATTTTATAACTGAGTTTTCTTTACGCACAAACAAGAATTTGAAACTTTTTCAAAATATTTAAAAATAAATGATGTATCAAAAATGAAATTTAGATTTAAATGATATATCAAAACAATTGCAATGCTTATGTGATTAATAATCAATTTAAGCATTTCATGAAAAAAAATTTACCCACATATTGTAACAATTACCTTTCATTTATTTATTAAAAATAATTAATTACAATATATTAAAGCTTATAAATAAAATAAGAAAACTGCAGTAGCTGCTTTCAGCTCGAATATTATAAATTAAATTTTACAGACTTTAATAGATTTTTATATAAAAATTATATTTTATGGTTTTTTTTAGACTGGTACGTAAAAAATTTGAAAAGATATTTCGAATAGAATTAAAAATAGAGCAATTTTTAGATACATTATCTATGGATGGTGACTGACAAAACTGATATTAAAATAGCTACTCGTTGATTGATTGGTTGCTGTTTTAGTACCACATTCCAAGTAAGAACCCCTAATATAGAAGAGTAGACTAAGTCCATCCCGTCGAATTTAGATAATTTAATAGGCTTCTCGTTATCACCGCTGAACAGTCTGATAAACTGTCAAAGTATTATTACTTCTGGACGCCAAAGTCGGGCATTCACAGACAAAATGTATTATGGTTTCTTTTTCTTGCAAGTTTCCACAACTTCTGCAGTGCGAATTATGAGGAATAAGCAGTTTCTCTGCATGGGTTCTTATACACCAATGACCAGAAAGAAATGCAGTAAGCATTGCAGTGTTCACGTGGTCTTATTTGATGAATTCCGGGGATCCAATTTTATTATAGGCCATTTAATAGGTACTCATGAGAAACTTTAAATGTACCATACGCAATAAAATAAAAATTTGGAATTGTTGACAAACGCATGATTTTGAGTAGTGGGTATATTACCTTTAATACACTGGTATTATTATTTCATAATGTTGATTGTACGCTGACCATTCCAATGCTTTTTTATCTTCCATATTTAGAATAAGAACAGATGACACATATGTAGCTTAATCTAATAGTTCATTTCCTTTGATTCCTGCGTGCCCAGGAAACCACATGATTTTAATTTAGTTAGGATAACGTATGTAGTTATTTTTGATAGCGCCACTTAGTTCGCTGCTATTATTCAGATTTTTTTACTGTGAGTTTTTGCAGTAAAGATAGGGCAATCTCGTGTACCTAATGGAATCATGATAATGGAATCCGTGATAATGGAATCATTTTGACGTACAACAGGAAATGTAACACGAGTTCAATTGTTCTCCATCTAACAATCAGCAGCTTCTGCACACAGTTTACATATTTCGGTGTTTGTGTTTTTTTTTGAAGAGAGTTGAGAAATGTCAAACTGCGCCAGAATCTTATGCAGAGATGTATAGCAGTCAGAAACCGTCCTGGATGTAAATTGAACTGAACTCAAGGACTTCATAGCAACTTAGCTGTCTGATAATATGTGCCTATTCAATAAATTATTCGCTTCCAGACAAGCTATAGCTTTCCTAATAGCAATCACTTTAGCTTGAAAAAGCTAATTCCACTGCAATTACCAGGAACTTTATAATGTATAGATTAATCTTGCCTAAAACTTTACTAAACCTTAAAAGAAGGGATTTCTATAATCATTTTACTTCAATTAAATACTATATTTCTTAAATAACTATAATTTCAGACCCCTACAAATAGTTTAAAATAATTGAAGTTTCAAAGGTAAAATATATCTATATTTATCAAATAAACTATATCGCAACAAATATTTCTTCTACACTTTTATAATTTAAATTAGTATTAATTATATGGGTTAGCAAAAAAAAACCACAATGTCAATACATACCATGCAAGAATACAGAATTTTAACTATATTTTTGAACGCATCTTTGGCAGGACCCTCTATATATATATATAGATAAAATAACCAATTTTGCTTTTATTTTAAGTAATCACGATTTCAATCTAGTATTGTGTTAGAAGCTGCATATTATCCAAAAAATCTCTTACTAGCTGAACTATGAGGAGCAGTATGACTGAATTTTGCTCTTACTTGTAACAAAATAAAATATTTCTTGTATTTAGTTATGATTAGTCGTGACTGGATTTTACCCAGTAGGTTGATACAAAAATTTGTAGTCAAATATTTTAGTTATACCACTGAATGTTTCTATAATATATTATGCTCATAATTGTATTTAGTTTAATTATTTTTTGCATATGGATGTGTTAAAAGAATTGTTTGAGATATTGATCATCGAAGACACTTTGTTAGACTGTTATCTGCATAAGCACCATAACTGCATCTTTCAAAAAATAAAAAAGAAAATTAATATGTAATTAGAGTAGATTTTCTGATTTGAAAAATAAACTATTTCTACTAATAACGTTAGACAACATTAGAAATAATTAAGATGATACATACATAGTATTTTAATCAATGCGTGCAACTATTATTTTTTCTCCAACATTTTGTAACATTTACTTCCAACAATCTAGCTTAAAGTGGAATTTAAATTAATTAATCATTTGTATTAATTTAAATGAATTCTTTGATTTGCAAAAATTTATAATAAACCAGTAACCTCTCTACCTTTATAGTATTAGTATTAGTTAATTTTCAATACTTAAATGTTAATGTTAATATTTCAAAACTATTTGAAAAAAAAAATTAAATGTTAGATTTGAAAATACATATATACATTTTATTTAATATTACAACATATAAAATAAAATTACAATTACAATTTAATTATTAAAAGTAAATCAAACATAAACTATTTGAATGTTAAAATTTAAATATTTAACAACTATAATTTTGCCATTTACACTTACATACATAAATATACATAAAAATTATTAATTATTTATCTCATAATTATTTGAGGTACATTTGGAATTACTTTATTTTAAAAATATATATTATTGTTCAACGTTATAATTTTAAGTAAGAGCATCTAATTGGCTTCAGTGGCAGGATCTTTCAAAGCTTGACCAGCTTCAATTAAACCACTCGGTGTTTCGTATTTTTGATTGTAAACCAAGAACTGAAAAGTAAATAAATTTTACATTATTGCATACAATGCAAAATATTTTTTAAATGTGTTCACAAACCTTTCTAGGCTTAGGTATTTTGCTTTCGTCTGTATCAATAATTTCGCAAAGCATTTTCGATTTGTTGTTATAACTATAAAACAGAAAACAAAACAAATTTGAGTTCATATATTAAAATAAATATACAATAAAAAAAATAAAAAAATTTGCTTTATTTGATTTGTGATTTCAAAATAATTAAAAATTAATATAAATGAATAAATAAATACAAAATACTCATACGGACAGTTTGTAAAGAAAGTTGCATAATGGCCTTAATAGTACCATAAAAATTCCAATAGCGTTTACTTTTTATACTGTCTTACCAATTTCTAGACAAATAATTAAATATATTTCTACAATAAGCCGTTCATATCTGAATGAGCTAATAAGCCTTCAGTTATACTTTTCACATAGTTTTTGATATTAGACTTACCGTACATCATCGCGAGTCAAGGCACTACGTACAGAAGCATATACTAGACCTACAACACCAGCGCCCACAATAACCAATAGGGGAATTACCTGCAAAGAAAAATAATTTTAATTTTTTTAGAATGGAAATGTGAACGAAAAAATTATTATATTTATCGTAACATGTTAGTACTCGCACTAATATATAGTATGTGATATAATCTTACAACATGTTATATAATAAAATATATATTTAAAATTAAAAAACATAACTACAAAATTTCTGAGTATTTTAGTTATTTATACTTGGAGTTTATTGTGATAACTTAACAAGTGATAAGGTACATATCACAAACCAGATTGTAAAAGAAATAAAAAAGTATAAAAAATAAAGAAATACAAAAATAAAAAAAAAAGAAAAGCAAGAAAAAAAATTTAAAAAAAAAAACAAAAAAAAAATATTAAAAACAATCACAAAAATAATAATAAAAACAATGAGAAAAAAATAATAAAAACAATGAAAAAAAAAATTATTAAAAAAATAAAATAAAAAAAAAAGAATAAAACATAAATAAAAAGTTCTCACAATTCTTGTATAAGAGAAAAAGTACAACAATAAACAATTATATTAATTTTAATGAATTATTAAGTATCTTTTTAATTTATTTATCATCTCAAATAATTCAAATAAGTATTTACCATACAAGGTATTTTAATATTGGCAAAAAAGTCAAATTATTGATAACTATGTAATCGATATTTTTTATTGTATTTTTTCTTTTAACTGGAAATGTCTCTCGTTTAAAGGTTACAGCGTAAATAAGTCATTATCAAAAGCAGCTGGATCTACATCCTAAAACCATTCGTTTACCCAGACGACCAATGGTCGTTTTTTTTTTCCAACAGGTATTAAGTCACCACAAAATTGATAAAACATGATACTTTAATGTTTTGAATTATAACTATTTAAGGTCGGACAATGCAATTAATATCTCACAATTAGAGTGTAGGTAAATGATAAATCGGTTTTTGGTATTAAAAATAATTTATATAAATAATATAAAATAAATAATAATAACATGAAATTTGTAAAAATTATATATAAAATAAAAATATCTATTATTAATAACAGATTTAATAGAATGAAAGTTATTCAGAAAGTTAGACATAATTAGGAATGAAAATGTTTAGTTAGCTAAATAGAACTAAGAAAAGTAATGTCAGTAAAGTTTACCCAGACGACCAATGGTCGTTTTTTTTTTCCAACAGGTATTAAGTCACCACAAAATTGATAAAACATGATACTTTAATGTTTTGAATTATTACTATTTAAGGTCGGACAATGCAATTAATATCTCACAATTAGAGTGTAGGTAAATGATAAATCGGTTTTTGGTATTAAAAATAATTTATATAAATAATATAAAATAAATAATAATAACATGAAATTTGTAAAAATTATATATAAAATAAAAATATCTATTATTAATAACAGATTTAATAGAATGAAAGTTATTCAGAAAGTTAGACATAATTAGGAATGAAAATGTTTAGTTAGCTAAATAGAACTAAGAAAAGTAATGTCAGTAAAGTAAACTCTAAAATGAAACTAATTTAAAAAAAAATATGGTATTTAAATTTTTGAATAATTTATAACGAAATGAAATTTACACAAACATTTGTAACTGTCTTTCTTCGCTGAAAAAAAAAAAATAATCAAAGCAATGCAATTATTTACTTTTCTAGTAAATATACGAGTGCACTCCATATAAAGTACTTTAAATTTAGATATTCCCTAAACTTTTAACATATTAACTCGGACCTTTAAATTGTATACACATTTAAAGTAATTATTTTAATTGAACTCACCTCCCAATACTTTTTAATTCCTTGTGCTGTGAACATATACATTTCTCCTCTACCTAAAATACAAATTATATATTATTTATATTATTTACGATTTATAATTTTTATAAAAAAACTTACCGGTAGTTGATTTTGGTTGACTACGTACTACATACTAAAAGGAAAAATTATATAATTTAATATTATTATAAAAAATTTAATATCAACAAAAAGAAACTAACCTGATTTGGTTTGATCAGTATTGGTCTGACTAGGTTTGTAGTTTGTGGGATTTTAGTTAGCATTGCGCGTAGAGACATTTTGCTATAAAGGAAAAAATAATTGAAAATAACAACAAATTCATATTAAAAATATAGAATTAATATTAATCGTATTATAAAAGTACACCTGTCAAAGAATTATTTATGATTTTAAAGAATCATAAATGTACTGCTATCCACTCCGTGGTTGATATTAGACAACAAACTTTAAGGTACAATTGTCAAACAGAACTGTCATTCAAGGCATTTTATGTTTAGCTTAGGGTTTGATATATTACAATATAGATCGCTTAATGTATTAAAATTATGAAAACTAACTATACAAATAATGATTCTATAGTTGGTCTACTTCGTGCATCACGAGATTAATGTGCATCAAAACGCACTATATTTTCAATACTGTAAAGAACCTTGAAGACCATGTATTGTATACAACTGGAACATCATGCTTGAGTGTTCGAAAACCGGCGTTTGGAGGCAAACTTTGACAGGAAAAATTATTGTTTGATCGAGTAGTCGAGTGGTGTGGATTTGTGATAAAACTTTTCATTTTTAAAAATACGAGTGCGACAGAATTAGTAAGTTCTAATTTTTACACCGGCATGTTTTTTCAACAGGACGGTGCCTAAGCAACGCAACAGGTCCTATTTCGTTTTTTTTTTTGGTAAAAATTTTACGTAGGTATATGTAATTACACGTTTTCATGTGATGTATTTTGACCACGTGATGTGAATATGCATACTATTTCAACATCACTGGACTTTTTTATGTGGTTAAGTAATGTATATATGTATTTTACGAAATTGGTATAAGCTAAGCTATTGGATTGAACCGTTTTTAAGATAATAGATAAACATTTTTTGTTGGCCCATACTTTATTCGCATTCATACCATTCTGGAAACACTCTGTATATATATACATATATATATATATATATATATATATAATGTGCATAGTATACGATTTATATTCAGTAAATACTGATTCCTTAATTATTTCAATTTAATTGTAATATTATAGCCGCACAATATTTGATACTGTAAGATATCGATTTTTAGATAAAACACACAAATGAGACTGTCATAAAAAATGCCTATCATGGCTTCATTCCATTAATTTTTTTTTTGTCATTTTGATGTAATGAAATGTTACTAAAATTAAAATTAATTAAGTCTTCAAGAAATTTTTGGACTTTTTTGGATGTGGTTGTGTTCATTATTAACTCAATTAAATTACAGAGTTTTTATGACAGTAAAAGCATTCCGTAAAGCGCTTTATTAAAACAATTTTGAAGAAAAGTACCGAAATAATATTGCTGTATTTATAATTAGATGAACGCATGTTGAGTAATATATTAAGTACTAAACAAATAGTACAAAAAAATATAAAAGTAATAACAATCTAAAAAAAAAGTATCTATATAGAAATTAGAGTAATGTTATTAAGTGTTTAAATTTATTATGAATTTAAATCTTTCGGTTTTAGTTTTTAACTTTCATTATTGCTTTTTGAAAAAAATATTATATTGTTTATGGAAATGTTTGCAAATCGTATATATTTCCATATTTTTTTTTTTTTTTGATTTTGAATTCAATCAGATTATTTTATATTCAAATAAAACTACAAACAACAAACAAGAAACAATAAAACAATTGTTTACTTTCCAAAAATGTTTTATATCTTATATGTACCTTGTAAATATTTCATTTAAAACTAGTAAATAATTTTTTTGATTTTATTTACAAATTAAAGTAAATTCATGCAATTTTATTAAAACCAATTTTATGAACTTGTGGCTATATTGTAAATATAGTATTCTATTTTAGAAAACATGTTTTTGTTTTTATTATTAAATTCTTTTTATTTTCTTAACATGTACTTCTGTTTATTTTATTATTTAATTATAGACTCTCATTATATGAGCCTTATCTGATTAGATAAGATATATGTCTACAATACATATTATTTTTAGAAAAAAAGCAATTTAAGCAATAATCTCTACATTATATAACACAAGTTTATATAAATTACTATTTATTTATATTAACGTACATAAATAAAGTTTTCTGGTACATATCAATAGTTTTAAAGTTTTCAATTTTAATTTTTTTTATTTTAACTATTTTTTTAGGAGTTGCCATTCAATTCTCTACTCAACTATTTAACTATTTGGGTTAATAATATAATAGTTAAAACTTTTATAACACATGCTCAACAAATAAATAATATTAACAAACTGGATCTAATTAAAATCAATAAATTATTTTTCCATTCAAAAATAGAATTCTTTTTCTAATTAAATTATTATTATATGTCTTTCTTTGCCATCCGTATTATTCTCTTTGTTATAAATACACAAGTATATTTCCTACTAAAATTAACAACTAATTAACACCACAATTTACAAATAATTTGACAAATTATTAACATTAAAACTGTTACTATTAATTATTTTTTTCACACTTGGTAAACAATTTCATTAACCGGATTTATACAAAATTTCATCAGTTTATTCTCAGTGAGTAAATAATATTTCGTAAGCTAAATAGTGACAATAATTAATTAAAATCAATTTAACCAAGATGACTAGTATTTTTTGACATCTTGCAAAGTTTTGAATTTATTTTCAAAATATTTAAAAAATTTTCATAGGCAATAGTATTAACGAGTACCAACCTGAAAATTTTTACATTACTTAGTAAAAAAATTGGCAAAATTTGCTCTGCAATATGCTCTCGACAATCAATAACTTATACATCACTATAATCCAAAAACTATACTTTCTATCATTGTAATCTATTTAATCCGGACCAAATATTATCTCAGTGATAGAGATATAATATTTTTTAATATTCGACCTTGTATAAATAATGTATATATCACGTATGTGAACAATTTTATCAAATTTTGTGTTTTACTTGAATGGTAAAATAGGTGGAGATATCGCATTAACAGATATATAATATTAATTATATTAATATCTCGATTGGTAAAATTGTATAACACTTGAGATTAATGTATAACATTCGAGGTTAATTTATAACACTCTAGATATTTTGCTAGAGTAGCAAGAGTTTCTTGCAATTAACAGCTGTTTTATACGATTAAATAAATCGTATAAACAGATAAATTGTGATTTGATTCGATATATGTATTTGTTAATAATATAAATGTTTACTAACACGACTAAAAAAATGTTAGATTACTCTAAAAATATTCAATTAGACAACAGAATATGACAGGTCGAGAGTTAATCTAGATTGAATCTAGATTTACCAATTAAAAATGTTATAAGTAATATATAAATATATGTATTGCTAAAAATTATACAACACAAAACACAAAGGAGGCGTTTAATAAGCTATACAAAAAATTAATATTAAATTAACAATAAGTAAACTTCAAAGCTCTATATAGTACGTAGCAGTAACAATAGCTTAACCTAGACGCAGATAATTTGTCAAAAGAATAAACACAACCTAAGAGTAAGCCATACCTATTTATGTTATTCTTGAAAACCTATAAGTCAAAATATCATATATATTATATAGAAATATACAAATATTATTATTATATTATTAGATGCATAGGATAATAAAAAAGTATATCATACTTAAAAATGGAATAAGATGTAAATTCTTCATAAATATGATCAGTTCAAATGCTCATCACGTATTATCAGTATACGTATATAATGACATTACATACACTCTTGTGCTATCTATAAAAATGTAATTATAATTAATTTTTTTTTTACCATAAATAATAATCATCAACAAATACATTTTAATGGTTCTTAGAAACACTGTGAAAGTATGTAACTTTTCATATATTTTAATTACTTTTATTGTTTTGTTCACCGAAAAGCGCATCTAAAAATTAATTATTTTTAGTAATAAGTAATAACTCAAATAATAATCTAAATTTTTTTTTGCACGTAAAACTACTTAAACATTATTTTTTTATTTTTTGTTAAATTACAATTTCTTCAATTCTACACATTTTTCTTTAATAAAGAAATATAAATAAAAACGTGTTAATTAAATATTTTATTTCAAAAATATTCTAAATAATTTATTTAAAAATTGCGAAACTCAAAAAAGATATATTATTTTGTATATAAAATCATTTAGTAAAACTAATATTATTTCCTTGTTATTATTTTTTATTTAATATAAATATATATATATTAAATTTATAAACACTAAAAATTTTTGTACAGAAGTTTTAAAAACAAATTTTAATTTTTTTTCATTTTTTAGTTGACACTTTTTAGTTTTTTAAGTGCTGTTAGCTGGCAATATAAATATTTCAAATATTTTTGTTTTAGTAAATATTGTAGGTACAATGATAATAAATAGTATTTTAATGTCTATATATAAGCTCTTTTGAGTGCTGACTGTGTGAGTGGGTGTTGGTATTTACTTCGTAATTGATTTTCGTAATTAAATATTGAAACGAACATAAAAAAATCTATTATGGAAGTAAGTTCATTATGCAGTACAGATATTTTCAACGATTAACTTAATTACTTTACTAACTCAGGTGAAAAATACTGTTTTTTAAATTACTGAAAAAATAAATTAATACATTAGTTATTATTTTTTATAACTGATTTGATTTTAGTAAAGATTGTAATTCTTTGATACATAAGAAATAATATATGCAACTAACAGACTTTGCACAAATTGAGTTGCGACATCAAATTTTATTTGATATTTTATAATTAATAATATGAAAACAATTACCGAATGGGTCACATAGTAAAATAGGAAAATATGACGTTATTTTTAGAAAATAATAACTCATAATAAATAAATTAAATTCGTATCACTATTCAGCTGTTCGTTGTAAATACTTTAATTACTCGTTCATTTTGAATTTTTGAATAAATTGAATTAATTAATACAATAACTATTAAAAAATAAATGATTTATTGTACATTAATATTGTTTTTTTATTACTTCTTAAAAAAATATATTACTTTTTATTGTAATCTTTGTGTTTTTTGTTTCAGTTTGCTAATATTTTTAATATTTCATAAAATATTTTTATTATTGTTATGTTATAATATTAAAAAACTTTATTCACTTTTTATTTTCATATTTATTAGTTGTATTTCATTATAGTATATTTTGTACCGAGAGAAGTTGCTGCTGGTGCGACAGTCGAGGTAACCGTCAGGCTAAAAAGCTGGTTGCCCCCTATAGTTATAATTAGATATCCTTCTTCAGCAAAACAGAGTTTAGAATGCTGGTGGGATATCCGAAGAGATAGAGTGTAGATTTTGCTTAAAAGCAGAAGAGACATCCAACCACATTCTATGTGACTGCCCAGCATTGATCTGGACTAGGAGGAGGACACTGGGTCGGGAACTGCTCTCAGCTTCCGACATTAGGATGTCATCAACGGCCGACATTTTGGCCTTCATTCGGAAGGCAGAATGTTTTTTGTTCGGTTAGGGTCTGTTGTAGCACAAAAGATCAAACGTGGTCGCAGTGCTCTGCTCAAGTGGGAGCTAGTACCCCGTTTATTCTTATCTATAGTATATTACGTAATTTTTTTTTTTGTTATACAACTAAATAATCTCTTAATATTATTATATTATCAATTTTCCTACAAATTTATTGCTTCTATATTTTTATTATCAAAAATATCAACCTCAATGCATACAACTAATTTTTTTTTGTTGATAGTGTTATTTTATTAAAAATATTTAAGTTATCTTCATAATCAAACTTTTTTCAATTTGTTACCATTATTTTTATTATATAATATTTACAAATTTATTTTTTAAATTTACATTAACAATTTCTATTTAGACAATTTAGAAGGATTCAATAAATAAATCAATGAAAAAAAATAACAGTAACAATTTGAATACAGGCAGGCATAAAAGTTAATAATAGTATTAAACCATATTAATTTATTTTATCATTATTAAATTATTTAATAATTAATTGTTTCACCAACAAAATTTTATTTATATTTTTTGAACGCGATTTACGTCATTTTAATTTTTTGACTTTAAAACAAATGGATTAATGTTACTAATTTCTTATTTTTTATAATAAATAATTATATGTATTTATGTATTATTTTAATTAAAATTCATTTTTTCTTTGTTGTTTTATTACATTTTAGTTAATTTTGAGTTAACTATTATTACGTAATTTTTATATCTAAAAGTTTTTATTAATTATTTATTATTATTATTATTAATTGCCTGGTAAGAGCGCAGTTCATTTAAATAGTGTCACCAAGTTTAGTATTTACACAGGATAGAAACGTTTGATTATTTACTTTTATGGAGATAACATTTTTATTAATTATTTAATTGATTTATATTTTTATTTATATTTATATACATTATTAATATTAATTATAATTAATTAATTTCAATTAACATAATGATTTTCTTTTTTTTTAAATTTTTTGATATTTATGTATATGTAATATAACATATATGTTTATACATATAACTTATATATACATAAAAAAATTATAACACATTTTTTTTGTAATTATATTAATTATTTCCTTACTATTCCTTTTATTATAATTAGAATTTTTTCGGTATGTACACAAGTTGTATTTTTATATGCACGAAAATATATTTTATATAGATTGAAAAAAGCTTCAATTTTTTTAAATTGTTTAATAAGAATTTTGAATTTTTATAATTTACCATAAATATTATTTCAATTGCCTATTTTTTGACCTCAAACAAAGTCAAAGCGCATATTTTATAAACGACGAAGAAACAAAAATTCCAATCAATTTTTATTGAAAACAAATTCAACAGGGCGGAAGCAGTTTTAATAATTTCCAAAAATACATTAATCGCATATTAAAACATTTTTTTTATATAAAATACTTTTATATTTTGCACACACTATCTCACATGAGACAATTTACTCAAAGATTCACATACCTTATTTGGTTTTTGGTTCCTGGTAATCCTTCGAGTTAATTTATTAAACGTTGTCTTTGACTGCCTACAAAAGACTAAACACTGCCGGTCTTTCACTGTTCACCCAAAGCACTCACTCACTCAGCAGCACTGAAAGGTTGTAGAAGTTTTCTTACCCACTGCAACAAAAACACACAAAGCATACAACAAAAACAACAACAAAAGAACAACAAAAATAGCAATAACCAAAAGAAAAACAAAAAAAAAAAAAAAAGAATACACAATAATACACATAAATTTTGTGTGAAACGTAGCACAAATGCTGCGTTAAGTGTTTAGTGTGTGAATGTTTGCCAAAGGCAGCAGCTTTCAAGTTTGTCATAACATACATCACATCACACAAGGTACGGCAATTGCTGTATGTGGGCAGGCGAATTCTATGTAAATAGCGCAATTTGTATGCAGTTGAGGTTAGGGAATCTGTTACATTTGTTCTATTTACAAGGGATTTAATTATGTACTCATAAAAACAAGCATTTCCTAAATTTTCATATGAAAAGACATAATCAGCTGATTTTTCAAGCCATTAATTTGTGATATGGGCATTGTTATAAACAAAGAACAGTGACGGATAAAAAAATATTAAATATAAAATTTGCATTATTAAATATATATAATTATATATATATATACTAGAAACGTATAAAATAAATATGACATATAAGACAACATTTTCACTTGGCGAGAGAAGATAAAGATCGAAAAAAATAGGTTTGGAATATAACTCAGAATGCTCTTAATAAGGTTAAATAATAAAGTGGATAACGTTAAAAATAAAATATTAATAAATTTTGTATTTGTTTCTCGGTTTTTTAATAACCAGATCTACTACTACTACTAAAATAATACTTTATAAACAAATAATTAGAACCTAAACTAGCTCACAGTAATGCTTCTGAAGTAATACTATTGTACTTCAAGTCATATGTTAAAGGCGCCATGGTATGTCAATAATAAAGAAGTACACAAAGACATAAGAATCGAAAGCATTGAAAAAAACAAAAAAAAAACAAACAAAAAAAAAAACAAATAAAAACATTACAAAAAAAAAATATCACAGACCTGCAATTGTTCAATTCTGCAGACAGATAGCATATCTTTCCAATACTATACGAGGGTCACTATATTTATTTTAAGCCTAATATTAAAAAATACTAACTTGTCGTTGAAAATTGCTTTATTGTTTCTCAAAGTATTCTCCTTTGTGATTAATATACTTTTGCATGCGTTAGAATGAATACCACCACATTATACAATCTTAAAACAAATATAATCTAAATTCTGTTTGAAAGATATGCTAAACATCAAAATATATTTTTATAAATTTACCTGAAAGGCTCAATATCCTATTTGAAATAAACACCGAGTAGTGGATTCCCTAAGTGATTACAATCACAACTGAATAAAAGGGCTTCAGACATTAATTCAAGTGATACTTCAAATAAACACCTAGTGCAATCGATCCCCCAAGAAATTGCACTTAAACTGGCTTGCACCAAAATGACCCAATATCGCATACAAAAGGAACAACTTATAGTGAATCTCCTAAGACATTAGAGTCACTATTGAATAAAAGTGTTTCAGACACTAACTCGCATTTTATCAAACACCACAAGTTAAGTATATAGAAATATTTACTGCTAGACAAGAAAAATCAATATTAAAGTTATTATCATTTGATAACAAAATAAACTCTTTATATATTTGAACAATATGTACGTAATATTATTTGCAAAAATGTATAAATGCATTTATAAATAATTTTATATGGTAAGCTTAATTACAGATACACAACATACCATTTTAATCAAAAAGGTCTATGCACTTATTTACTATTTTTAGCATTTGTATGGCTGAATTGATAACAATATATATTACTTTTTATTGTAATTAAGACCTACGGATAAAGCATATACTAAATAAAATGACATTAAAAACCATTGATAATTTAAATATATAAATAATGCTATGTAGTTATTTAAAATTTATAGATTAATGATTGAAAAACCTTTGAACAGTAAAAACTGCTTATATAAGAGATAATATTTGTTCTGAATATATACCTACATACTTCAGTATATACATATATATATATATATATGTTTAAAATGACATTGAAATATTATTAATCAGTAAAGAATGCTTATATAAAATAAATAATTTTTGATCAAAACATATATAATTATAAGCATGCATTTAAGCTTCAATTTATTTTTACTTATGACTGTCTCGATAAGCCGTAAAAATGATCAACGTCATAAAACCATAATTACGTCATTCACATAACATGTTATATAAATAAATTAAGTGAATCAAACAATGCAGTCTGGACATTAAAAAGTTGGATTAGATTACTAAATAACAATGTCTGTTGATAAAACAACGAGAAAGACACAACTTCTAAAGGTATATATTGGTAAAGGTATATATTAATAAAGGTATAAGTACAGTTTTTATTTTTATTTCTGATGTGTTAAAGATGAATTTCAAAAAATTTTTCTTACAGTATTAAATATTTTACTTACATGCTCATTTTACTGCAATACATTCTGCATTCTATATAACGCCAATTTAAAATGCTTTCGGAGAGAAGTTATAGGTGGCATCTTTGTTTTAAATACTTTTATATTTTGTTTCAGATAATTCTGGATTTTATATCATTTAATTGTCATAACATAATGCACAGCGAAATAGTGTAAATGATGATTTCTTGTTATTTTAATATATGGTATAATGTTAGGTGAATGTACATTTCATAGTTATGTGGACTCATGTTTCACTAATAATAAGATAAAAATAAGTAATCATTAAAAAAAAATAATCGAAAAAAAAATAAAAGTAATCATTAAAAAAAAAATAAAAATAATACTAAATAAAAAATCATTTATTTAAATAAATAAATTATAACACATAATAAATATACCTTTCATTTAATATCGTCATAAAAAGTTTTTAAGTTAAAATATGAGAAATATTAATGAATGTAATTTTGTATTCATAATATAGGTCTTTTGATCACGGTAGGTTGTTTATAATAATTGGTTAAATTACTATTATTCAGAATTATAAAAAGTGTTCGACTGGGGATAATGTATGTATATAGTAATAACTTCGTAAATTACAATAAACAATATTTAAAAATTTTTTAAATTTTTGTATAGACCACAATTGCTTACAGATGGTAGACCACCTTCTAAGTATACCCATATATTTGTTCTAAATAAATAATCTATATTTTTTCTTTTAAATTAAAAAATTAAATTTTTGGTTTTTATTTATATATTTTTTAAATTATTTAAAGTAATATAAAATAATAATAAGTAATAAAAAAAACAACAAAAACGACATTTAAAAAAAATATTAATATTGTACTTTAAGATGCTTAGAAGTATTTATAATAGACTACCTTTGTTTTGACTAGTCATCGTATTAATTGACAATATTTTGTTCCTGGTATTGGTAACTTTATGTTTATTATATATTGAAATTTCCGATGTAGTACTGATTCCAAGTTTTTTGAGTTGCTAGTTTCATGTAAGATCACTTATAAAAGAAAAAAGTTCAAAACGACGGCATTTTTATATAGAAAAGCAATATATAAAGTAATTTACTATATTAATTAAGTTTTTGAGTTTTTCGTTTCATGGAAGAGCACTTATTAAAGAAAAAATTTCAATTTTATATAGAAAAGAATTATATAAATTAATGCAAATATAAAAAATAATAATTTGTAATAATACTCTGCCTTGAAGATGAAGTTAAACTTCGAAACGTCGATAATATTTATGCATAGTACTATATAAAAATAAAAAGTACAACTTTTTATTCACATAAGCCTTTTCAAAAAGCAGAAAAATAAATTTTTTATTTATAACAGTTCACATAAATATTTTTCAATAAATAAGTTTTATAATTAAATCTTATTGAATTAAACTAAGAATTAAGAAAGCAATACATAATTATTCCTACAAGCTTCATTTCCATTGAGGGTCACGTTGCTACCGTTGGTTTTAAAATAATCACGCACCTGTACTCTGTTAAACAATAATAAAGATTATTGTTAAAGCATTTTAAACTTAAAGTTTATTAAATTATCTCATACTTTTTCAAAAGTTAGCATATATACACATATACGTAATTACTAAAGTAAGTAAATTTACAGATTCTTGAAAACTAATTACAGCTACTAAAGTACATATGTATGTAGTTGTGATTATGCACTTTGATGTCTAATCGAATTTTGTTATAAATGATTTTTTTGTTGCTAGCAATGTGTTAAGTAAATTATCTAAATATTTGATAAATAAATACAATATAAACAAACAATAAAATTAAATTAACAGCAAGCAAGCATATATAAACAGAAATAAAGCTAAAATGCTCTGAGCTTTAATTTGCACTATGTGTGCGGGGGTATATTTCCGTCTGAGGAGCTCGGTATTTTGGATTTGTTTGGTTTGGGTTGCAAATATTATCTATAGTCGATTTTTATGACATTTTGTACAAAAAGAAAAAAATTTCGTTTGTGCTTTTTTTCTAACTAATAATTCTCCAGCTGCGTGCAAATAGTCACGTACACTAACAATTACTTTGAGAATATTTTAAAAAGTTCTTCCCTAGGCGATTTCCGACTTTTTACTATTAAAAAATATGATTCACAAGGTATACATTTTCTAACATACATATGTAGTTCTAAACACAAGAGTGATGTAATTCGTTTTATATACATTACTGAGGCTTTTTAAATATTGCATAGTATTTGAACAAATATAAATAACTTCAGGCACGAAATAAACTTGAACTTGATTTTTATGTCTTAGTCCTTCAATTGTCCTTTGACATTTAGAAAAGCGTTTTTAAAAATTTGTGTATTTAAATATAACGTTTTTCTTAAAAGCTTTTGCAAAATTAAGCTAAATTATAGTTGAATTATATAAATTCAAAACAATCAAATCATAAGCTTTAATAAATAAGCTTTAATGAAAGTTTTCCATTCAGAAAAAGCATTGCTATCGAAACTTTTACTGCAATAGCTTTTATAGCTTTTTAAGAAACCCGTGTTTCATATAACATAAAAATAAAAATTCTTAACTGTTCCCAGAATTGTTCCTTAAAAAAGGTAGTAAATGCTTTCATATATTATTAATATATAATAATATATTAACATTATATATTATTATTATTACATTTATATATCATTATATTATATTATATTATTACTTATACTATTTATTATCTCTTAAACAAAATATTATTATTTCAATTTCAATAGAGTGAATTGTAGAGCGAATATATCAGTATGTTATGATAATGTTAAATAAAATTAGAATTGTATTGATATAAATAAATTTTTTAGTTTTTACCGGGCCTTTCTATTATATAAATTATTATATATAATTTTTTTATCATTTGTATGTGTTAAGTAAACGACCTAATCCCGGTGAAAATCAAGAAATTTATTAATGAATCGGTCATATTAACAATTAATTATTGATATAAATATGTACAAACCGTTTATATACTATATTGTAGTAACCTTTTAGAAATAATATTATTCTATAATTGTCGCAATCAAAGTTGTTCTCGAAGTAGTATACAGGGTTGGTTTCTGTAACAGTATAATTGACTAACACACTTAGACCTTACTGAACACAGCCTTATAACTGGTAGTTAATTATGAAACCATTTCGATGCCGTAATTAGGCATAGGATATGTTATTTGAAATCTTAGCCCAGATTGTTCCTAATTTTAGCGCTGAACATTTCTGTAAGAGAGGTTAAGGCATAATTGGCTAAGAAGTTTGCTCTGTATCTGGCTAGAAAAGAAAAAAATGTAAACAAATAAAAGAAAAAAAATTAAAAAAAAATGAAAGAAAAATATAAAATATAAACACTAAAATATAAAAAAAAACAAAAGAAAATATAAGAAAAAAAAGCAAAAGAAAATGAACCAAAATAAACTAGAAGAAAAAACAAAAGAAAATAAAAGAAAAAAAAAACAAAAGAAAATAAAAGGGTGAAAAATTAAAAAATATATAAAAAATAAAAAATAAATAAGAACACAATAATTAAAATATTAATATATAAATAAATAACAGTAGTTTTACAATTTAAGATTCCACGTTAAATAAAATATTACTACTTAAGTTATAAGCTAGTGTACTATATTATAAGCTTTCAACTTGGATAGGTTCCAATTGTAAACACAAATCACAGGGAGGTAGCCATTTGTACCACTTTTTTATGTATATTCGACCACATTACTATATATGACTTACCTTTATAAAATATTGATCAAAAAATACAACAAACTATAACTATTGTTTTATAAATGTGTTAATATTTACTAATACTGTTGACGAAAGTAACGAAAAATTTTTTTTTTAATTAATGAAAAGATAACTTTATCACTTATGATTTTATACGAAAATTTCATAGCGTTAATGTGTTGTTCATATCGTACGCTACCCAGGAATGTCGCAGTTCCAGAGATGTGTTATTGTTGATTAATCAAACTTAATAGATGCGAATGGAACTTAGTCATATAGAAAGAGAGATGATTCCGAGAATATTCAGGATCTAGATTACAACGGTACTCAAAAAACATTTTTGTTTATTAAATAAAATAATTTACAAAAATCTAATAATAAATATTAGATGCAATTAAAAAATATAATATAATATATTATATATAATATATCGATATATAGCTAAAAAGAAATATAATGAAAACAAAAAATAATAAAAATTAATACCAGAAAAATAATAACACAAAAATACAAAGTATTAATAAGAAAATACAAAAATTATTTTTAAAAAATAAAGCTAAATTCAAAAATATATACCTATATAATTATTTTATATATTATTTATGGAAAAAAATGAAATGGACAAGGCAAATAGATGAAATAGTGAACATTGAAATAGAAAATAATTAAACAATTCAAAAAATATAGTATATATATATATATAACAAAAAGATAAAATAAATTACAAAAACAAATATAAAAAAATAAATTAAAAAAAAAAGAAAAATAAATTAAGAACTGAGAACTCAGAGAACTATTGTGTTTGTAATATAAAAAATATATGAATGAGCTTTGAAGAATTTATAAAATGCTTACCTGATGTAGACTAGATCTGGACCAATAAACATTCAAATAACAAATCAGTATTTCTATATAAAATAGGTTGCCGGTCTACTGGAACCAAAGTCGATATTTAGCTTCTTTAAGCTATTGAATTGATTGACATATGTATTTAGTATTTTTTTTATTATCTTAATTTTATTAAAAATTCGTTATATCTATAGTTATTATTTTTGGTCGATTTAATTTTTTAAAAATAAATTTATTCATTTTTAAATATTTTCAATTAATTATCTATTTTCTTATTCTTTTCTAGTACTGTAATTAGCAGCGATTACTTATTGCTAATTCTAGGTTGATTTATTTAAAAGTTCAATTAAAAAAAAAAAATTAAAATAAAATTAATCCTCATAAAAGTTTTATTATAACACAATAAATGATTTGGTAATACCGAGCAGTGTGGTGCCTATCTGTAAATTGTATTTTACATTATATTTTCGCATATTTTTGTGAAGTTAATTTTTTAAATAAAATAAATAAAAATTAATTTCGAAAAGTCAATTGATCCCGAATTTCACTAGAATTAATTGAAATTATAGCACTTTTAATTAAATATCAAATTAATTACTCTTAATGCAACCTGTACAAACAATCAGAAAAACTAAGTGTAGAGGAACTCAGCATTGGGTTCAAAGGAACCAATGGAAGACCAGTGGAAGTTCATTCTTTTGTATATATTATATTCTTTATATATATTATATTCTTTATATTATATTCTTTATATTATATTTTTTTGTATTAGTTCAATATTAATTTGTTGTTTTTTTTGTAATATTTTTTGGATGGTACTATTGAATCTGAATAATAGTTATATGTAAATCGTACTAATTGTCGTTTTATTCTCATAAAAAATGCATTCCTTAGTACTGCTCTCTGTCCCTCTCTCTCTCTCCCTCTGCCTATTTCAAATATTTACTGCAAATAAACTGTGCCAATTTTCTTCAGTTTCAATACATAAAATTTTGTGATTAATCTGGAAATGCTGATTTCTCCAACCATATAACTTTCAATATAACAAAAGATAATGTTGATTGTGCAGAGATTGAAAAAAGTTATGTATAGATTGAAAGTTCTAAAAATAAAAACAAAAACATTTATAATTTCAAATGTCACACAAAAAATATTTATTTTTTTTATATATATATATATATATATATATATATATATATATTAAAATTTCTCCAGTGCGCGAATGTTGCTGTACCTGTGCTGTTAGATACACTTAAGAAGATGTTGTTTTTTTATTGTTTTATATAATTTAAGTTTAGTTCTAAATAAATTAAAATTAATTAATTATACATATTATTTGAATTTTTTGTTTGATCAATTTATAATAGACAATTATGAAATTTTGTTTTAAATTAATAATATTTGTCTTCTTTTTACAGTGGACAGTGAGCCATTCTTAACAACAAATAAACAATTTGCTGAATGATTGAGCTTTTTTTATAACCTTTAAGCTTTTTAATTGTCCTTATCGTCTTTTGGAAGAGAACAAATTTCACAAAAACTTAATTCGGGACCATTTATGAAAGTACAATGATTACAAGTCCATTGTCCACCATCAGCTGAATTTAAGGAATTAGCGCTACCATTACCACTAGCTTGTGCACCTCTTTGTGTAGCAGTTGATTGCCTTGAGGGATAACTTGTGGTACCTCTGTATTTAAAAAAAAGAAGTAATAATAAAAACAGATTAGTTTAATTTAATCAATAAAGTATATATTATATTAAACTCACCCGCTGCCAGATGAACTAGCATGTATCAATGATTCCAACAATTTCCAAACTTCTTGCTGCTTAAAAGTCTGTGCTAAATTAGGATTTTTCGAACGCACTGCATCAAACAAATCACTCATGTGATCATGTATTGGTAGCACATCCATTTTATATAAATATACAAGTAAATGAAAATCAGATACTGCCTCTAGGAACTCTTCATCTGACCAACGCGATAAATATGTGCTTAGCGCATTAAAATCTTGCAAATGTCCATCTAAATAACGATTTTCAACTGGGAATGGTTCACGTTTATCATATTGAGTAAAGGTGTATTGTTGTTGAAGTGGAGTGGACGCAGGAACATCTACTAATAGATATTCAACAGGAAGTGGACGTGCAAGACGTTGCACCTCATTACCATACTGATCCTTTTCCTAAAAATAAACAAAAATAATTTTTATGTAAAGATAAATATAGATATTGATAATATCGATAATATAGACTTACAGCTTAAGCTTTACTCAATAGATTCATAAATCTATTGAGTAAAGATTTTTAAATAAAATATAAGTAGATAAAATTTATTATAATATTTATATAGAATACAGCAAAGAAAAAATAGAACTTATAAATCAAACCATTGCATTTTAATATATATTATTTACTCTTTACTTAAATTATAAAAACTTTATTAAGAGTAAAGCAAAAGTAAAATTTTAAGAGCAAATACTTCTCTAAAGCCATTAGAGTTTTCAAATTATATCATTTAATGTTTGTTTGATTTAAAAATATGTCAAAGTTTGGCATCACACCAATTTTGGTCCAGTGACCTACTTTATTTTGCAATTTGTTAGACCTTATATGAGAAATAAGGATAACATATATGAAGCTTTCAAAGTCACTGTTAGTGGGGCAAACGGGCGTACAGTACACCGCAAAAGCTTTTACAACCTGTTTGAATTTTCCGCGTCGCGCACTTTTTCATGGCCTTCCTCAAGGTTGAAAACTTCGGGGCCAATTGGTTTATTGTTGGCATAGTAGAAAGAAAAATAACGAAATTTTTTAAGATACTTACGGGTATTATTGCCTAAGTATTTTTACAGTGCCAAATGAAATAATGCAAAAGAACAGAGGAAAAAGAACGCAACGGAAATAAAAAGTTTACTCTTAAGTTTCAGCAAGGTTACTCCTTTTTAGTAAAAGCTCAAGGTTAACAGGTCAAACAATTAATTCCAAAACTATAGCAGATGATTTCTTATTAAATAAAAATAAATAAAAAATAAAAATTTGATAGGATTTCTCACATAGTATATGGTAAAAAAAATTATATAAAAAATAAATTTTAATTTATAATTATTTATTGAAACAAAATAATATAAAAACTTAAATCATTATCAATAAATTTTAAAACTGAATTTTTAACGTCGTTTTAACGAAAGAAATTAAATTCTTAAATAAACTATTATTTTCAATGAAGAGATATTTCGAATAGTATTAAATTACAACAATAAAATATTACTTTACTAATTAATTGAGTTTTTGGCTGACCATAAGGAGTAAATAATGCTTCTACAAAAGAATTGTATTAAAATTCAACAAATAAAAATAAAAATATAATTAATTAATTCAATTATTCGACAGCTGGTTTTTGATTTCATTCTAATATAACGCAGCAAGTAATTTTATTAATTCACAGCAAATGAATAAAATACCAAGTTCGAACACACAAGTCAAGTACGACTTTGGGTCAATTGATTATGGTGCGCTGACTCTAAGCTTCAAATTTGGCAGGACACGAGTTCAACCCTTGGTACTTGCAGTCTTAAAAAATTATTTACAAATAATTAAATACAAAAAATAATTCCAAGACCACTGATGATGGGTATTTAGCAAAACTCAAAACAGTCGTAGGGTTAACTAAAAACTCTATTAATTAGTAATAAAATAAAAAATTTTAAAATAAATTTTAAACGAATTGAATTAAATAAGCAATTATAAATAATATCAACTTAAAAATGCAATATTAAAAATTAACTAGTAAGCTTTCTTAGTTTTGATTTAAAACTTCATGAATTCTTGAAATAGATCACAGAAATAAATCACTAAGCCTGTATCGAATTAATTATTCACGATCTCGAGTAAAGAACACAGTAATTTAATAACAATGTAAAATGCCAACAATAACATACATATATTTGAAAAATATGTTGTTGTCATTATGTGAGATCATGAATAATCTTTAAGTAATTTTTTTCAATAAAAATATTATCAAAACTCAAAACGTTCACCAAAGCACTGTAGAGAAATTGTACAGATAGTAATTATTAATACCAATTCTTAGAAAATGAAAGTATAGTGGGTGGGATACTATACCAAGCCATATGTAAAAAACCGTACAACTCAAGCATTACGGTTATATTATACTATTCAATTTTTTAGATAAATGTATCACAAATATTCTACCATTGATAAAACATCAAGTTCTTTTTTAATTATTTGAATAATTTCATATTGAAAAACATAATTTAAACTCCTATTAAATCTATGCATACGATCTGCGACAGTAAGTTGTTCTACGAATTAAGAGATATCATATAATCCAGGAGCGCAAATCACCATTGAAAAATGTAGTAAAGTCCAAACTCTTCATTTTTTTTAACCCTGCAATTTATGGTTTAAATAATTTGATTTATTTGTGATATTGTGGCCAAGCAGCATTCATTTAAAAATATACTAAAAAATAAAAATTGATGGATAAATAATTAACTACTGAATGAACTAATAAATTTTTCACCTCGAAACCATGACTGAGATAATAATTACAAAATATCTTGTATATTTTTGTGGGTATGTTTCGTAATAATAATAATACTTAATCACAAGAGTTCATACTCCAGATCGTGAAATTTATAATAGCATGTTTGATTAGTGGAGCAGAATTCTGTTGCACCTAAATCCATACACCTACTTACTCATATTTAATATATTTAACTAAATCACTAAAAATCTATAGATATTGTAGTATAATATAACATAGCATATTTTGAGTAAAAGCCTATCGGATGAATAACTGTAAACGAATAAAGCCGACAAACGCTAGGAAAATATATAGTAAATAAAAATTGTTGTATAAAGGAGTTAGAAGATAATAAGTTTAGATAAAAAATTATTTGCATTAATCAAAATATTTTCTTAAATTGTATCATCGATAATAAATTTCATTAAGATTTAAATAAAATACAATAACGAAGGACATATGTATTTTATTTAAATCCGTACAGACTTAGATAACTGCTGTTATATGAAATAATGGTTTAAATCCATTGATAATCTTACAATCTTTATTTACTTTTAACTTTAATGGTTTATTTCATATAACAGCTACGAGATAAAATCTGACAACTGATTCCTTATATTTCGTCATGATATACATGAAAAACCAATTTTGAAAAGAATTTTTGTAAAATTATATTCTATTTATTTTATCTAAAAATTTTAATAGCTAAAAATAAATACATAAATTTAAAACATATTCTATTTATGTATCTATTTATTATATATTATTTATTTCGAAAACTGATGTACAAGCTTACATTGAAACATACAAATAGTATCATATAGGCTGTCTAGGTTTGGTCTCATAAAACGAATTCAGTATATGTAATATAGGTATACTTCATAGAAATTTTTTTGACTATATTACAAATATTTAACAGATTTACTATATCCTTACACGATATGTACGAAGAGTACATATATATAAATAGCTTTTTGTATATAATAGAAAATCATTGATTACTATTACTCTAATATACTATACTCTAATAGTAAGAAATAATTAATGTACTTAAAGTATTGTATATCAAGTGTACACTATATATGATAGAATCATTCTAAAATGTTTTAAGTGATGAAGGTATTAATAAATATAAATTGCAGCCTTTCTTGTAGAAAGTACGACTCACTAAGACCCTGTGATACTAGAGATTTAGAATTCGCTGTTTTGAGGAACTTTAGATAATGATACTACCTTTTTTGAGTATGCCATTTTAATAAGTCCGAAATATTTTTAATGCCAACACTCTAGATATCAGCAAGAGGAGATATTCCAGACTTGATATACCAACCTTGGCGTTCATAAGAAATACTATATTACCCCCAATATTTTACTTTTTTTATTTTAAATATAAATATTTAGAATGTATGACATTCAATTATTTGGCATAAAACTCTGACTCCCTGAAGACTAAATCAGTTACTTGCATTAAACTTAAATACTTAAACTGATTGTTCTTTCAAGAATAAAGAAACCATTTCTGCCATTCCTTTTCGTGACGCACATTTAAGAAAAGAGAAATATTTTTATTTGAAAAAAGCTTTCGAAAAGTACTCTTATTTTTCAAAGAGCTTTGTGAGATGCAATAATCACAAATAAATTTAAAAAAAATTAGCCACTTTATAAAAATATCATAACTAAGGTTGAAGCATATTTTTACAGAAATACTAAAAAAAATTATATATAAAGCTACAACACATGCAAAGCATTACTTTGCTAGATGAGTTTTTAGCAGCCTACAAAAATCCGAGCATGTGCGCCTTAACATATGCAACAGGCAGGCCTGCATATATGTTTAAATAAGTTATATACTCGTACAGAATTCACAGAAGAAATATATTTATAATTCAATTATGGGCCAGTTTGTCAGTATGCCAATTTTATTTACGTTATCATTAAGTGCTTATAACTTAATTTATGAATGACCATGATGTGCAGAATGACTACTTTATGTTTGCAATATTTTTTTATTAGTAAAACCATTAACTCCGTATCTGTGTCGTGTTGGCGAGTCAGGATACAAACACTCACATGAACTAAAGGCGTTTGGGAAAGAGCTTTATGTCGCAAAGAAGCTAAGCAACGTCAATATTGCAATCAGGTGCAATTGAAATGCAATTTAGTCTGAAGGACATCATGTACCGGATATTGCACAGGAATGGCAATGAAAGAAATAGTAGCAATTGTAGAAAATATGCAAATATGCAAATATGTAAAGCAATGTGGTTAAACATAGATTGATGGATTTTAATGCTTGTAATTGGAAAAAAGTTGGTTTAGAGAAGTTCGTGTTATGGTAATATTGCACTATTATTGTTACTATAAAAAACATAAATAATAGCAACTATTTTGTATAAAATAGAAATATATGGATAGATACAACTAATAACAAAACAAGAAAAAGATAAAAAATTGTATAACAGAGAAAAATATATTGTCTCAAACATAAATAAATTTATAATAATTAAAGTATTAAAAAAAAACCAATAAAGGAAAGAAATAACTAAAATTTTAGCATTTTATTTAATAAAAAAGGGAACCAGGTTCACAGAAGTCATAAATGAAATAGTTTTTTATGGTAATCAGCTTTAATGCAAA